GCATTCCTGGCCATTCCACTTCAGCGCCGTGTAAGGGCACTGATACGCCATAGTGTCCTATGTTTGTGACATCTTTCAGGTTTTCTCTTGGATGCAGTCTTTCCACCTCTAAAGCTACGTTTCTTTGTCCTGTTATGTGAAGATTATGAATGATAGGAGGTGAAGTAATAAATTTTAGAAAAATGCTAAAGATTGTTGATACTGCTGCGTGTTCGTGATGCTGGAGAGAGACAACCAAAGGCTTCATACCATCAGGAGCCTGGAAACCCAACAGTTACCTTTCTGCTGGGGTTCTCACAGAACTTGTGAAAAAACGGCTTGCACCAGCAAGTCAGTATTCCCAATCCACCCCTTTTTATAGCCCTCATTGGATGGCTCATGAACAATAATTTGTTTAGGAAAACATCACACAGTTCAATATGCAAGTCCTCCTGACAACAGGTGATGCGATGAAAAGAATTTGAACTCTGAAATAAAAATTAGATGCAGGTAATGGGACTGTGAAATTTAATGTCAAGGAAACAGAGGTTTTTTTAATTTTTGAGTTAAATCATATCTGCCATAAGTTGCTTCCATTGTTTGTTTTTTTTAATTGTAATTATTATTCTCCCCATTTATTTAAATCAGCATCTTCACTAGTATAAAAATTCTCCAACTGTACCACTACTGTGCTTACACTGGCTCCCAGGCCATTTATTAGATAAGTTTTTTATGATGCTAAAATTTTGCAGTCTTTTCTGACAGAAGAATTCCATAGCTGTCTAATGTGACAGAGTGTGCATCTCTGGGTTCGTCCCAAAAGAGCCCTCAAAATAGTACTTGAAAAATTACAGTACAGCTTTTTGTCTATAAAGTGATCTGTTAGACAGCGAGCAGTTTGGCCTGCTTTGTTCTTCACTGGCACTTGTAACATGTATGAGACGCTGCATCAGCATGGTGAGCAAAAATGCAAGGACTTGGCACAGTTCCAGACACATCTGGGTTTGAGCAGCATTCGAATAGCAATTTTCGTTTGCAATACCTGGCATTTTTCTTAAAGGGAGGTATACCAAGGGAAGATGAACCTCCGAACACGAGCAAGGTGTCCGCGCCCACCCCTCACAGCCCCTCAGCGGGCCATTTGCTGGCCCATGCGCACTGCTTGCTTGGGAGTCCCTGGCCCTCCCTGCCTGCCTGTGGGCAGGGTCCTCGCTCCGGCTCCCCTTCCTAGAATCGTCCTGAAATGCTGGATCGCGGGAGCAGACACCCACTAGCGCTGGGCGGCAGCGAGTCTCTGGCCCACACATTCCAAATGGCAAATCGCCCCTTTCCCAGTACCCATGTTCTAAGTTTCCTACTGCGTTTCCCGAATACCGGAGTTCTTTTGCTTATACCAGTGAAAACCATCGTTCACCTGTGCCATCTGTCCTTCGTGTATTCTGTTCTGGGCTTTTCACCTGTTCCCGAAGGACGGTGGGTGACTGCAGAAACGTGAAGTGCCAAGTCACTTCAGAGCTCCCAATGTGAAGAGGAGCAGAGCGTAGCTTTCTGACCAGCCCTGGCTATTGAAGTACCATTTTTTTCACCATTCCTCCCCTTGCTAGTAGTACGCTACTGTGCCTCACTAATGCCGTGTCTAGCGCTGAGCAACCTGGTCTAGCGGTAGATGTCCCTGCTCCTTGCAGGGGAGTTGGACTAGGTGAGATTTAAAGGTCCCGTCCAACCCAAACCATTCTATGATTCTATGAAATTATTGCAGCTTTGCTTCTGACAATTAGCTTTAACCTCTAGGGTAACGGAAGTTCCTTGCTGGGAGGGTACAGTCCAGCGGGGCAAAGAATCTCAAAAAGCAGTATAGTCTCCCTTCACAACAGAAACACTCTCATCGCCTACACCTTAGTTATCTGGGGTTTTTACTGATTGCATGGTGGGTTTATTGCATGTGATTTTAATGAAAAATCACTTCTGTACCTTACTGAA